CCATGGCGTTTCTGATGAATGGTGAGCCGGAGATTGTCAAGAACTTCCTGCTCAAGACCGTTTTGCTGCAGGGTTGGGAGAAGAAGGTTGATCGGTTTAAGCTTGGCGAGGGGGCCATGCCTGCAAGCTTTAAAGTGCTACATGACGATAAGAAGGGTGTTGATACCCTGCACGCGGATTTTGGTGAGAGCGCAATTGGGCGGGTTGCTCCAGTGGATTCGGGCTTCTGGTGGATCATACTATTGCGGGCCTACACAAAGTCCACCGGGGATTTGACTCTGGCAGAGAGGCCGGAATGCCAGAAGGCGATGAGGCTCATTCTGAGCCTGTGCTTGTCTGAGGGATTTGATACCTTCCCGACATTGTTATGCGCTGATGGTTGCTGCATGATAGATCGTAGGATGGTAAGTTATGGACTGGCACTTCCAATATGTTCAAGTCTAATAAGAGTACATTTCACAGGACTGCAAATTTCCTATTCTATTAATCAATGAATTACCACATCTGTGACTACTGACATACATACCATTCTTTTGGGCTAACATTTCATAGAATTACCGATGTGTGGATATTTCTTTGAACTTTCAAAATTAGGAAACAATTGATTGTACTTTGCTGAAACAAGGGTGATTAGTGAAAGTTCTATCAAATTTACGCAATCATTTAACAACTGAATATGAGATAGGAATTCAACAAGTTTCTTGTCATATAGACAAATACATGTCTTTTCATCAAGTCCCAGAGAAGCTCAAACAATGAAACAAGTCTCATGTCTGTTTCAGCAAATGTCAGTACTTCCATAATTTTTTATATAATTGAAGATCTATCAAACAAATTGTAGCACTGTGGTATCTTAGCTCAAGGTAATGGTAGGTCGGTATAATTGTCGAATTGGCCATAGAAGTCTTATAAGTAAGAAAAAAATAGTGCTAGTTCTGTAAAATTTATTCATATAAATTTATACACCTAATATTATGGAACCGAGGGAGTATTATCCTAATTAAAGATCAAATATCATGGTCGAAGTCATCTAGGTCTGAAACGAACGCTAAATCTTTTCGAGATATATCTCCAAAACAATATATTTCAGTTTGACATTTACTGCTGTAACGTTGTCATCTTTAGTTTGTGAGGTTTTAATGGTTTGTTTGCTTTTGTTGTTCTCTGTTCAAGTACATAATATATGACGAACAATGTGCTCATAGCTTTGTTGCGGTTTCACTTATTGTGTATCTTCATATAAATAAATGTGGTGCCCCCTTTTCATACTTATTGGACTTGCAAATTTCATTTCCTTTTGTTCTGGTGAGTTCATGGCGATTTGGACTTGTATGCCTTTGGTCATTTTTCTCCATCAAAAATATCTAATTGTTTTAGTTTGATGATGTGCTGATTTTCATACCACGACGGTGCTTCCAAATTTTCATGTCTGAGATACTAGAGTGCAATATCCTTGGCCCAAAAGCAATCCGAATGCCCGTGTTTTGTTTGACGAGGTCCAGTTAGATACACAAATCATACTATATCCACGATGCTGCAACACTCGATATGCCCTCATCGATACGGGCTTCCCAAGCCCACTACCTCCTTTAGTTGGTCCACCTGAACCTGTTGTTACATCTGCATGTGAGCAACCTTGCACTATCATTGAATTCGGCAACATTTTCCCTTCTGTGATATGTTTTTCTGAAGGAGGATATCCCCCAACCTCTGCATCATGTTGTGCACACAGCTACCCTTCTGTGATGTGTAAATTCACAAGTATTCCTTTCATTCTGTAGAACTGCAGATTAGGAATATGACTAATATTAAAACATTAATTTATTTGTTAGCAATAACCATTTCTTGGATGATGCATGTTGCTCATTTTTGCGTATGCATGTGCCCTATATGAGCTATGAATTCTTTTTAATTAAGTGAAATACCCTCTATGAGCTATGAATTCTCTTTAATTAAGGGAAATGCTATCATGGTCTCTGTTTGTGCTCTTCTTTTCCCCATTCTCACTCCAATCTTTTTTTGTAGGGTGTGTATGGCTACCCCATTGAAATTCAATCCCTTTTCTTCATGGCACTAAGGTGTGCTCTTCTAATGCTTAAACATGACGCTGAAGGGAAAGATTTTGTGGAGCGGATTGCAACTCGTCTTCATGCTTTAAGTTATCACATGCGGAGTTATTTTTGGCTAGATTTCCAGCAGCTAAATGATATTTATCGTTACAAGACGGAAGAATATTCTCATACAGCTGTCAACAAATTTAATGTTATTCCAGATTCTATTCCGGACTGGCTATTTGATTTCATGCCTTGCGAGGGTGGTTTTTTTGTTGGTAATGTCAGTCCTGCAAGGATGGACTTCCGTTGGTTTGCACTTGGAAACATGATTGCCATAGTATCATCTCTTGCTACACCTGAGCAATCCATGGCCATAATGGATCTCATTGAGGAGCGCTGGGAAGAGTTAATTGGTGAGATGCCTCTGAAGATATGCTATCCTGCTATTGAGAACCATGAATGGCGGATCGTGACAGGATGTGATCCAAAAAATACGAGATGGAGTTACCACAATGGAGGATCTTGGCCAGGTTATTGCACTTTGTGTTACTTGGATCTCTGTATGTAATATATGTGAAAATTATCGTGCTTTTGTTAAGTTCATGTATGAATTAGGCTTAGTTTGTGGTTGCTGAATCATGTTGTGTTCTTAATTTTTAATCCATTGTAGGAAATTAGCCACTAAAATAGGGAAAAGTGGATTGATCAAACGAGATTACCATAATCCACCATAATGCCTAGCACTGCCTTAGATTTTAAATTAAATTCAATGATAACTATCATAACTTTATTTTTTAGCACGTAGAGGAAGGTAAACTTATGCTAAGCATGTCAACAAGATGAACTGTGATTTACACCTTCCATATGTTTTTTAATGAGCCGCCTTTTCTGTTGATAAGAGAAAGATCTGCATGATCTCTCCTTTTGTGCTCCATTTTTTTGGTTTGTTTTAGTTTTCTCATATATCTAGTAGATATCTGAAACATGACATTGAGTTAAGCTGCAACAACCATTGCATACGACTTCTTTTTTCATGCATCAAACATTCTTCCTGCAGTACTTCTCTGGCTGCTCACGGCAGCAAGCATCAAAACTGGACGGCCGCAAATTGCAAGAAGAGCAATTGACCTAGCTGAGAGGAGGCTGTTGAAGGATGGCTGGCCTGAGTATTACGATGGTAAGCTTGGAAAATATGTTGGCAAGCAGGCAAGGAAATTTCAGACTTGGTCCATTGCCGGGTATTTGGTCGCCAAGATGCTGCTGGAGGATCCTTCGCATCTTGGTATGATAGCCTTGGAAGAGGACAAGGCAATGAAGCCAGTTTTGAGAAGGTCCGCCTCATGGACAAACTGATATATCGACAAGAGCTTTAGGGGAGCAACGTCTGGATTGAAAACACGAATTATTCGGGTAGCATTTCTCTGCTCATCCCTTGTTTTGACTTTCCCAACGGAAAGTTTTATTTTCTTCTGGATTCCTCGGCTGTACAATATCTCGGCTCATTTATTGAGTTGGAAAAGAAGCAATTGTGGAAATGAGTATTCTCTTTTCTTTTCTTTTCAATCCATCGTTGTAAGAAGATACTATTGATTCTTGCTTGGTCATTCCGTAGTAACGGGATCCTTGACTCAAAACTTTGTTGTTTGGGTTGACTATATAGACGAGTCTGCTGATCCAGCTTCCTATGATGAACATAAGTTTTTATCTAACGAATAAAAATTGCTCCATTCTGCTAGTGCATATCAGTTCCGTTCTTCCTGACTTCTCAAAGCGAGGCATAAATAGTGTGGGTGGCGTGCGAAATTGCATAGGAGCACTCGGCGACACAGCCCACTGCTATCATGCCCATCCAGTTGTCTCGGGATCAACACCCACTATATTTTTGTCTATTGTCTGCTTCCTATTGCCCACTGCTATCATGCCCATCCAGCTCTCTGTATTGTGTTCATTAATCTTTCTACTAGCCGCAAATGAAGCCAAAGAGAGACAGTCTGTGAGGAAGGTCGGCTGCCTGATGTTGAGACATTTAGCTACTTTTGCAGTCAAGAGAAGAGCAAACGCTTCAGCCTGCAGAGGAGTACTTGTAATTGAGGTGGAAGCTTGAATCTGCACGCTGACTTCCTTCTGATCGTGCGGCAAAGACATGTAGATACCAACTCCAGTGGCTGCTGTTCCCTGCAATAAACCTGAAATTTTTTTGCACTTAAAAGATGCATCAGTATATATTTTCGGTCCCGTGATAAGAAGATCTGATTTAAGCGTTTGTCCCTGCAAGGGAAGTTGATTAGTATGGGTTAAGATACAACTGGAGTTTTGAGGCTGATGGTGTGAAGAACTGTTAAGCAGATCACAGAAATCATTAGATAGAGAAGTAGCAGCAATATTAACTTGGTGAGGGGTAGATTTCTTTCTATTAAAAAGATAATCATTCCTCGCCTTCCAAAGACACCACATAAAATTTAGAATGTTGACAACAGAAGCATGCGGATGGTTCATATTAAGTAAAGCAAGAATAATACTATGGATATTGGTATAGATCTGAACTAAAGCATCTGTTCTGATGAACCAAGGATGAGAAAACCAAGGAGCTCTAGCGAAGTCACAAAGAAAAAACATGTGAACCTCATCCTCTTGCTGACCACATCTGCAACAATATTGAGAAATATGTACGGAAAAGCGCCCAACCCTCAAACCTGTGGGAAGAGCTTTCCGAAGGAGTCTCCAAGCGAAAGTTTGAACTCTGGGGATCATCAACTTTTGCTTCCAAATCAACTTGAGAAGATTTTTCATCTGCAAAGAAACTTGGGAAGGAGTATTTCTTGGATTGGCATGAATATCCTGCAAACACAATTTATAAGTGGACTTGGAAGAACAAGTACCATTAGGAGTTAGATCCCAACATAATATATCCGGGCAATCTTGGTGAATAATGTCAGTTTGAACGATAACAGAGGCTAGAGGCTGTTGAAAGAGAGAGTTAATGAGATCATTGTTCCAGACTTTCTGACCCGGTATCCAAAGGTCCTTAACAAGAGAAGGATATATGTATCCTGAAGGCTGAATAAAATAAGATTGTCATGAACAGAAGCCCAAAGGGAACACCAAGGGGTACTCCAAAGAGAGATATTCCCTTGCGTGAGTTGGTAAAAAGAGTGATCTTTCAGTTTAGGTAACATTTTTAAAATGGATGACCAGAAAGCAGATTTTGGAGTAGTAGAAATAGCAGTCCAAATAGAGGCATCATGGAAGTATTTAGATTTGAGCACAAGATGAAGGTGGGAGGAAGGGTCTTTAGCAAGCCTCCAAGCAACTGCAAGAAGTAAGCCCTCATTAATTGCTTGCAAGTTCCTAATGCCAAGACCACCTTCCTGTTTGGAATTGCAAATGTCCTTCCAAGCCCTAAGACAAAGGCTCTTGTTAGAATTATTCTCTCTGATTCCTGTCCACCAAAAGTTCCTTATAATAGCAGTGAGTTTGGCTATAAACTTCTTGGTAAACAAAATATTAGACATGTAGTACACAGGAATAGCAGAGAACACAGACCTAATGAGCTCAAGCCTAGCAGCATGAGAGAGCATATTAGCTTTGTAAGCAGGCAATTTATTCAGAAATTTATCAATAACAAAGTTGTAAGCAGCAGTTCTATTTTTAGCAGGAAGAATAAGCGAATGACCAAGGTGGGTGAAATTGTTATCCATGATAGAAACAGGAAAAACTTGCTTAATCTCTTGAATAGTGGTTTGACTAACATGAGTACTAAAAAGAATAGCAGATTTGGCCCAATTTGGTATTTGACCTGAAATATAACAAAAGTGATGGATGAGTTGAGCCATAGAATTTGCTTCCTGCATAGTGGCTTGACCACAAACCAACAGATCATCTGCAAACAACAGAGAATGAATAGAAGGGCAATCTGGACCAAGTGAAATACCCTGGAGATGATGAGCAGCTAGAGCTTCATTAAGAGCAACAGATAATTCATTGATAGCAGTAACAAACAAATAAGGCGACATGGGACAACCTTGACGAATACCTCTGAAACTTTTAAATTTATGAGAAGGCTGCCCATTAATAAGCACAGAGAAAGTAGGAGAAGAAATGCAAGCATGAATCAAATTAATGAAATGACCATGCAGACCTTTACGTGCAAGAGCAGACACAATGAAACTCCATTCAAGACGATCAAAAGCTTTAGCAAGATCTATCTTGAGCATGAAAGCATGATGATTCCACAATTTTAGAGCGAAGGAGTGAGTAATCTCTTGAGCAATAATGATGTTATCGCTAATTCTTCTACCCTCAATAAAAGCTTGTTGTGCCGGATCAATATAGTCCGGAAGATGAGGCTTAATCCTATTAGCCAATGATTTCGCAATGATTTTGTAGACAACATTACAAAGGCTAATGGGATGATAATCCATAGGAACTTGAGGAACTAACTTTTTTGGAATGAGAGCAATATTAGTGTCATTGATATGAGGAGGTAAAATACCAGTTTTATAAAAGGTAGTCACAAGTTGAGTAACTTCCTCGCCAATCCAATCCCATGCTGCTAGATAAAATTCAACATTAAATCCATCCGGACCCGGAGAAGCATTCAACTTCATGTCTTTGAGAATCTGCAAAATCTCATGTTTATCTGGAAGAAAGTAAGTAGGATCCAAAGAGTTGTCAGGCAAACGAGTATTAAGAAAAGGCCTTGCAGTGTTATTGTTTGGTGAAGAGAAGATGTATCTAAAATAATTGACAAAAGTATTAGTGATAGCACTAGGTTAAAAATGAAGCACATCATTCTCATCCTTAATGGAACAAATAGTATTTCTTTTTCTTCTTTTGATCACAGCCTGATGAAAAAACTTAGTATTACGATCACCAGCAGTGGCCCAACCCTTCTTACTTCTCTGCTTATAAAATTGATTGAGCTTAGAGAGAGTTTGTTCATACCTAAGAGTGAGAGAGCTTTCCAAAGTGTGATTTTGCTGCTGAATTGAAAGCTGCTGAATGTGATTAATACTGGACTCAATTTCCAAAAGCTCTTGCTGGAAGGGATTTTTCTTCTTACACCACTTCTTCAAAGAACCTGCCAAAGAAGAAGACTTTGCTGCAAAAGAGGTAAAAGTGCAATTATTCCAAGCAAATTTTGCAAAGCTAGTAAAGTCTTTTTCAAGCAACCACCAATTTTCAAATTTAAAAGTTTGCCTCGGCTTAAGAAAATTACCGTCTGTAGAAACGAGAATGGGCGCATGATCACTGAGAATAATAGGTAAGTTGAGCACTTTAGAATTAGGATAATGCGCACACCAGTCAGAGTTGACAAGGCATCGGTCTAGACGTCTGTAAATAGGATTAACAGTATGCTGTTTGTTACGCCAAGTGTACGCAGGACCACTAAAACCAATATCAAAAAAACCGCAATTTTTAACAAGGGAACGAAAAGCAGACATGCGATAATAATTAACACTACCATTACAACAATCTGTATCATACAAGATATTATTAAGGTCTCCAATACACATCATGGGCTTACCCAAGTTATCATACACAAAAGCAGAAACTTGACTCCAAATAGCACTAGTCTGCCTATGGTAGGGGTCACCATATATACAAATCAAACAAAAGTGAACACCCGAGGCTAGATGAACTACATTAGCTAAAATATAATGAAAGGAGGCACTATGAACAGACACATTGAGTTCATCATTCCACATAAGCCAGAGCCCTCCAGAGGCTCCTCTAGAAGGAACAACAAAACTATTAGCAACATCAAACCTATTAACAAGATCAACCGACCGAACCTTGGAAGATTTGATTTCGGAAACAAAGGTTACCTGAGCTTTAGTAGAACGAATCAGATTGGCCAGAAATAGCATACATTCATTGCCGAGGTCTCGGCCCATACCTCGGCAATTCCAAGCTATGGCTTTCATGGCGCCCGAGACGTGTTAGGGCCATGCGCCGCTGCCCAAGAAAAAGAGTCGGTCATGTTCCCATGTACTACAGCATCAAATTCCATCTCCTCCCCCCTGACCACTCCTAAGATCCACTCTATCTCGTTGGCAAGAGGAGCTAAAGTCATCCTGATATACTACTGCAGCTTGACTCAAACTAGAAG